ACACCCCATACCCCAGCCTGCATTTACTGAGCATCTTTGCTGTGCCAAGGCACGAGTCGGCTTCTTCCATGTTTACTTTCTTGTCCAATGCTCGTGGCCTTTTTACAAATGAGGAAACAGACTTAGAGAATGAAGTAATTTGGACAATGTCATACATCTAGTCAGGGGAACCCAGGTCTGTCTGCTCCAGGTCAAGTGCTTTTTCCTTTCCCCCCTCCCCTAATTCCTCCTCTCTGTTTTTGTCACCCCCTTATCCTGAACTGTTGGTACAGCCCTGCTCCCTGCTGTGTATAGCTAGAAGCATTTCTCAACCTCTACTGACACTTGAGACCAGATAATTCTGTTATGAGACCTCTTCTGTACACTGTGGGATATTTAGCAGTGTCCCTGGCTTCTACTCACTAGATGACAGTCAGACCACTAGTCACGACAACCAAAAATGTCTCCACACATGGCCAAACGTCCCTTGGTGAGGAGTACACGCAGAATAACTCCAATTTGAGAACTGCTAGGCTAAAGCAAAGGCTCTGAGGACCCCCTCATTCAGCAGGGGCTGAAACCCCAGTTTGTCAGGGTTGGGGTGAGAATGGGGCCTGGGCTGGGGGAGCCTTCTGTCTGGGTCTAACTGTCCACCCCAAGGCCCAGCCTCCATCCTGGAGCAGATTCAGGGGAGGAGAGAGAATTGTTAGGTACCAGGGACCTGGGCAGGGGGCTGTGAGAGGTCACTTGAAGTGGACCTTGGCATATTGATGGGGATACCCCTGAACCAAAGGTGAGGTACTCACTGAGGCATTCTCCAGGGGTTCCAAGATCTGGGCAGGCCAGACACTAGGGTGTCTGCAGCCCCAGAGGGAAAGGCACGCTGGTTCCCACAGCTGAGGAAAGTTTCATACTTGAACACGACACCTGGGGGCCAATCACACCTGTAGCTCCATTCTGCAGGCATGTCTATGGCAGTCTCAAGCTGATGGCCACACCCAGGGGTGCGACATGCAGCGAGTCCTTACTTAGGGCTCTCACGCTGCGATGTCAAACCTGTGAACAGCTTCACCTGGAGCTCATGCCTGACACCTATTATGAAGAACATATCTGGAAGCCATGTCTTGGGAAGAGGTGGTGGAGACACCTCAAGGCCACATCAGGGAACACACAGGCTTCTTTCAGAAACCCAGGGCTAGAAAGGCTTTAAAATATCCTCTTTTTCATCCTTTTAAGCTTATTTATAATTCTATAAGAAACGCATCCTGTCTGTGGTAAAGCCAGACAATTGAGAGAGAAAGTCTCCCTCATCTAACTCTATCCCCAGCTACCCCAGCCAGCATCAAGGACGAGTCTCCATGACCCAGAGACCACCACGCACACCTAGCCGTCAGGACCTGCGCAGTCAAGCCCTCTGGGCCTGAGGACTGGCGCCCCCTGGTGGCTCCAGGCAGCAGGACGGCTTGAGTTCCGGGAAGCTCAGGGCTGCCTGGGACTGCTTTCAGCTTTAGGGATCCTTTAGCCTTGAGCCTGACCCCCTTTCAGTTTCACTGGGTTTGAGTACATTTCCTCTGGATCTACTGAAGATTCAGTTTTCCTTTCTGTAATACGGGGCTGCTGTTCGTACATCTAGAAATGAGCTATACCTGGAGCCGGCTGATGGAGTGAGCACTTTAGAGAAAGACTTTCCTGTCTCAGTGCTGTTTGCAACAGGGTTCTAGGAGTGACTCCTGATTGGGTACCTGAGCACCCCACTTGGGTCACGAATCCCCAGTTCCTATAGAGACTTCTCTGGTGTCCCCACGAATCCCAGCCCCTTTTCCTCCCATACCGCCTCCCCATCACTCGCGATCTGGGTATCCGTTCTGCCCCTTCCTAGTACTGTGGGGGGTCGGGGGGGGGGAAATTCGCTGAAGGCTCAAGGGTAGAGATACCCCCAAATCCTTCCACCACTTCCTGCATGTCCTCTGCATCTGTAGTTTTAGGCAGTGAGGCTTAATGAAAAGACACAGGGGCGGGGCCTGGGTCTAGTCTTGGCTCCATCACTAGGCTGTGTGTAACCTTAGAGCAAGTGACAACCTCTCTGAGCCCGTTTCCTCATCTATAAAACTGAAAGCATGAAAATACTTGCCACATAGAGTTGTGACAATTATATGAGGCAATGCACGTAGTGTATGAGGTAATATGCTAAGTACCAAGCCGGGTAAATTTTCAGGACATGGAATGTTAACTTTACTGCAGCCCCCCAGGCAAGGAAGATGAAGCAGCTGGAAGAGCAGGAGGAGCACAGAGGGCTCTGTGCCAGATCAGTTGGGTCATTTTAATTGACTTAGCTGACAGTCAACCAGCCGTCCACCCACTTATCCATCCAACACTCATTGTTCAGTCTGCTTGTGCACTCATCTGCCAAATAGCCTCTGGTTATATGCCATGTACCAGACACTGTTCTAGGCACTGGAGGTTCCAGGGTGAACAAGACAGACAAAGCCACTGTCTTGGAGCTTACATTCCAGTGAGAGAGACAGTGAACAATCAAATAAGCAGACATGTAATCGTAAGTCCTAGAAAAAGCAGAGCAATGTAATGTGACGTGTCTATGTGAGGGGTTACCGTAATTTAGGTGATCAGGGAGGGTCTCTGAGGAGGTGGCAGTTGAGTGGAAATCTGAGAGAAGAGGAGGAACATGTGTGCAAAGGCAGGTGGGGGCAAGGGGTCCTAGGCAGAGAATAAGCACAAAAGCAAGAGTGACCTTGGCAGAGGGCCAGGGTGGTGGTGAGCGTGAGAGACGGGGGAGTGGAGGTGAAATGAAGTGGGGTGTCCGCAGAGGGCAGGCCATACGGGTCCTGGAGGCCATGGCAGGAGTTTGATTTTATCCTACAACCAATGGAAGCCATTGGACGGTTTTGAGCAGGGAAATGACATGATCTAAATAATTTTCTGTGTGTGTGTGTGTGTGTGTGTGTGTGTGTGTGCGTGCATGCACGCTTCTGTGTGTGTGGCGATGTGGTGAAAATCTAAATACATGTTAATTTTTGTTAATTTTTAAAATAACAAATACTCGTCGCAAAAAAGTTAAAAATACAACAATATATCAAGTCAAATATTTCCCTCACTGCCAAACCTCACTGTCCACTACTAGCACCTTAGTTTATCCTCGCAGACATTTTATTCTACATATATAATCCTGGATGTTTGTAAACATGTACATAATCTACTCATTCAAAAATGGAACTGTGGTATCACGCTGTTCTACTCTTAGCTATTTTTTACTTAAACTTACAGACTTTTCTCCATGACATACATAGCATATTAAAGATAGATTGAAATTTATTTTCCAAATCTTCCTGTTACAGTACTATGTAACTGAATGCATGCAGATTTGAAATAGAGACCTAGGAAATCATTCATTTATTCATGTACAAACATTTATTGTGTACCTTCTATCTGCTAGGTAAAGATGAATCCAGCTTGATTTTTAAATTTGAGACATTATCTATTCATTTGTACTATGAACCGTGAGAATTTGAGTCTCTAGTCATCGTAGCGCGCACACACACACACACACACACACACACTTCTCCACATATACCAAGATAATTATATAGTAGCCTTTTTCTTGGGTTCTAGCGTTATTGATATAATCAACACACAGTGCCATATAAATGTAAGGTGTACGGCACGATGACGTCACACATGTATACACTGAGAAATGATTGCCACAAGTCTAGTTAACATCCATCACTTCACGCAGTTACAAAACATTCTTTCTCCTTGTGATGAGAACTTTTAGGATCCCCTCTCCCAGCGCCTTTCACATGTAGCACACAGCAGTCGGACTGCCATCGCCGTGCTGCACATCACGCCCCAGGACTGATTTACCTCACAGCTGGAAGTCTGCGTCTTTCCACCCCCTTCACCCAGTTCTCCCCGCCCCCTGCCTCTGGTAACCACCATTCTGATCACTGTTTCTACGAGTTTGGTTTCTTTTGTGTGTGTGTGTGTGTTTTCTTTTTGAAGATTCCACATATAAGTGAACTCATCCAGTGTCTGCCTTTCTCTGTATAGTAATTTTTGTCGAATCAGTATCCAAATTTTCCATTATTATGACCAGGCGAACGTTACAACTGAGCCACGAGGAGTTCTTTTGGTACCAACACTTTCTTGTCCCTGAGTTTTTGAGCGGCAGTGTTGCAAGGACATAAGAGCCCTCACTCTGGAACCAGGCTGCTAGGGTTCGCACCGACTCCCCATTACTCTCTGGGGTGACCATGGGCAAGATATTTTACCTCTCTGTGCCTCAGCTTTCTCATAATGATACCTACTTCATAGAATTGCTGAAGTCAGTTACTGCCGGTAAAACGCTTAGGACAGTGAATGTTACATAAGGATTTGTTATTCTTATCAGTACAGTCTCCTAAGAAAGGATGTGTGGGGGGTAAGGCTTTGTGGTTGTTTTACCTTATTCATGTCTTTAATCTATGCTCTCACTTGGTTAATAGTAGCTTGGCTGTGTGTAAAAATCTGGGTTGAAAATCGTTTTTTTTTTTTCTCTTAGAAATTTGAAAGTAATTCTCTACTGTCTTCTGGTTACTAGAATTTTTCTTATGAAGCCTGATGCCTTTCCATGTCCACTTTTTTTAGTGTAACCTATTTTTTTGCTTGTTTATTTTTTCTGTTTATTTACTTTTGTTTTGACTCTGGAATAAGCTTTTAAAAGGTTACTTTGGCTGCTTTGTTGGAGAACAGATGGAGGGGAAGCAAGA